TCTGTTTGGATCAGTAGTTCGTTTGGGTTCGACCCGAAGGGTTCAGTCAAGACAAAGCTGTAATACTAATTGTTCATTAATATTACAGATCGGAAGCGGCCTCCACCCAGGCATTCCGATCACTTGATCTCACTAAAGAATTAGCTTCCTGATAATTCTGAACCCTCTATCAGAATAATACACTTGTTGGAAGGACACCATTCCTTTCACTTTTTATGCTTGATGGCATAGAGCTCCGTCGCCTGTATGAAGGCTTCGGCTTCCATTAATGCCTCTTGGAGGGTAGCAACCCTCTTTTTGACCAGGTTGAACTTAAAGGTCGACCCATCCTTCAGACCCTTGAAGAAGTCTTTATAGGCAAATTCGTCAGATAACCCTTGGATCTGAATTCTCATTAGATTGAACCGCCTGACATAGGACCTTAGTCCCTCCTTGTCTCCCTGCTGAATAGCCCCTAAGTCGAGACTTGTCTTTTTGGCAGGGATGTTCATGGAGAAGTTGGACGCGAACAGGTATGCTAGCGTCTTGAAGTTGTTGATACATCCGGCTGGCAGATTGCCAAACCATCGTTGGGCTATGCCCTTCAATGTTGTCGGGAAGCATCAGCACCATGCAGCATCATCCAACCCCTGTAAGTACATGAGGTTGGTGTAAGCCATTAGGTGGTCTTTCGGGTTGGTGGTACCGTTGTAGGTACCAACCAACACGTTCTTAACCTTGGCCGGCTGGGCCGCCTCGGTTATCTCCCTGGAGACTAGCTTGTCGGCTGGCGAGTATGGTGGGACGAAGAGTCCCCTGAAGCTTCCCTTTCCAAAGAATGGGGAGCTTTTGAAGAAGAATAAAACTGGTTCCGGTGATGGTGAAATCGGTCGATGTTCTCTCACCGTAATCAGGTCTCTGTCCCTCTTTAAAGAGGTGGGACCATTCTTCTTATCACTCTTGGTGCTCTTGCCACTCTTAGTCAGGTTTCCGTTAAGAGTGATTGATTTTTGGCTTAATTTTTTGTATCTTCCCCTCAGACGGCACCAAATTGTTTCGGATGAAAACAATAGGACCTTTAGCAGGCCCCTTTTAAGGGAGAAAACTGGTCTCGGTCCCAGTGACGAATGGGTTGAGGATTTCCTGCACAGCATACACACGTAAACTAGCCTCGGGGATGGTTGCCGAGGAAGGCCCCTCCGATACTAAAGTCAGTTCTGTGTACTGAGAGCAAATGCTATGCAAGAGAATTAATTGCTTGAGGCTGGTTGTGAATGAATGTAAGAGGAGACAATTGATGGTTTTTATACCTTTGCTCAATAGAGGAGAATTGGGCCCTTGAAATCAGATGGGCTTGCCATACTGACTGGGCTTGTTGACTTAGCATGCTTTTGGAGAGTTGAACCTTGCGTTGGGCTTTTGTAATTAAATCATTTGGACCGGCCAATTAGGGATGACTGAATTGTACCCAAACAATATATATATTTTCCAAGAAGATTATTAGAAATCAAACCACATGCTAACATAATCAATAAAAAACTTAGTTTAGAATGGACCTCCCTTGAATTAAATCAAGTTATGTAAGTGAACATTCGCATGATATGCCCAAACATCCTCACAAAATATGCAGCTCAAAGATGTCATGATAAATCCAAAACGTGAGTAGATATCAACAATCCGACTGTTGAAAATGAATTCTCATATGTCCTAAACAAGCTCTCAAAATTTCAGCCAAAACTGACCACGAATGACCTTTGACCGAGGTCATCTTTAGGACTGCTCCCTGAAAAACGTGAACAAAGATTGTTCCCAAAAAGATAATCGTTTCTCACACCGTACAAGCTTTGGACTAATACCCATTGTGTAGCCATTGAAAATAAATAATTTCGTTTTCAAATTGTTGTAAAATAAGGTGTATTCAAGACTACGAGGAAGAAATGAACAATAAGATCGGAAAAGTTGATCTCATGAATAATGGAACAAATAAATACAGTATGTCGCGATGCAAATCACTGACTTGAAAACGAAATTCCGGCGCAATCGTGGTGCTCAATTGTATTCGCCGGCACATTCCCTAAGGTTCACACACCACTCTCACACAAATGCACTTTTGGGTAAGAGGTTGGAGTCATATAAACTTATGCCCAAAGAGAAGAAAGTGTTTATTAGCTTAATGTGATTGATGATTGTTGTAATTTGATTTTTACAACCATGAAATATATAATGAAGAAAAGATAATCAAGAGTTGAGAAATCCAAAAGACAAGGCCTTAATCAGATATCAAGGTGAGTTAACAACCTCTTAAAATATCCCATTATTTGGAAATTAAGGGAAGGTTACAAAAGAGAAAAGGAAGAGGAAGAGGAAAAGGAAGAGGAAGAGATGGAGCTCCAACGGTCACCAGGCACGTATACGCGCTCGATCGGGCGGGGCTCGCTCGATCGGGAGATTGCGATTCGGACAATTTCCATAAACTTGCTTGCGGGGTCGGCCAGGTGGATCTCGCCCTACCGGGCGACGAAATATCGCTGGAAACGATTACATAGCACCCTGTCGGGCGTCCAACCGGGCAAACCTCGTCCGACCAGGCGCCTAATCGGACAAATGTGCCAAGGTCAACATTCCATTTTGTTCCTTTATTCCAACAAGAACCATTTAAATATATGATGGTGCATGTTTACCAAATCATGGATAGCCGAATAGTCAAAATGGGTTAATTTTAAATGATCGATTGACTCAAAATGGGTAGAATTTCAATAACCGAATGATGCAAAGTGGATAGAATTTCAATGACCGAATAATGCAAAGTGGGTAGAATTTCATATTTTGGGCCTAAATAGTATATGGAAAATTTCAAAAAATGGATAACGCATTGGATTGTTTATTAGGGTTGTACACAGTTTGGTCTGAACCGTAACCAAATCGAACCAAACCGTATTTTAGCGGTTTGGTTTGGTTTACGATTTATAAAAATGTAGTTTGGTTTAGGATTTTTGTAAATACGATTTACGGTTTGGTTTTGCTTTTCAAAAATTATAAACCAAACCGTAAACCAGTAAACCGAATTTAATAATTATATAATTTTTAAATAAATCATAATAATTATATATATTAAATAAATTAAAAATATAATAATAAAAACATTAAAATCAAAATACAACATAGGGTATACGTATAATATTGTATTATGGCGATGATCAATTGATTGTTATTTTTAGTATGTGTTACCACTTGATTGTTATTTTTATTTGTAATACAATTTAATCCATTTGAGCTAATTATTTAAACTTTGTTATAAGTTAATGAAGTATTATTTGGAAATTTTTAGGAAAAAATGTCGTCTCATTATAAACTGCAAACCAAACCGTATTATTACGGTTTGATTTGGTCCAGTTTGGATATTAACACGCTTTGATTTGGTCTGAAAAATTAACTGCAAAATTGGTTTGGTTTGGTACTCAACCGCACCAAACTGGACCGTGTTCACCCCTATATGTTTATAGCCATTTTTTTTCCTTCCAAGGATCACCCTTTTCACTTTGTCTTCTTTGACCCTTTGATATGTCTTCTTCACTTGATTCCTCCTCTTTCTTGACAATCTCTCTTATTCCCATCAATTTAATTTATATGGAGTACTTTATTTAGTTATCTTCTCTTATATTCCAAAACTTAGATCATATAACTTCAAATTCCCATTTAAAACTAGGTTTTTATGCACCTCATATCAACAAGGTTCTATTTGTACCTCCATTTCAAAGGACATGTTTAATGACTGTTTAAAGTGTGTTATTTTAAGCTATTTTTCTTTTATTTGAATTGTATATAAGAGTATTTGGTTGGGTGTAAGATGCTTTCCACAAAAATATTTTTCTCATTTTCTTGCATTTTTCTTTAGGTTTTAATTCTTTTTGGGTGTTTGGTTTAATTTGTACATGAGTAAAAAAAATAGTTTTTCAATGGTGGACAATAATTCCATTCCTCACCTCACTACCTCCATTTTTTTTTTCTCCTTCATCCTCACCCTTCCACTTCTATTTTCTTTCTCTATAACTTTTCTTATACGAAGTAATGGAGAAAAACAAAGGAAAACTACTTTACAATTTTGTTTTTTTTCTTAAAAAACCATTTTCATTGAGATTGTATTATGTCAAATCATATGAAATCTAACTTAAACCTTATTATTACTTAATTTATCTTAACTTAAAATTCAAAGATAAGAAAACCTATAAGATGAGAAAAACAAAGCTTAAACTCAAAACTTCCATCTTCCATGATTGAGTTTCATCATCATAAAAATCGCCGTTAAAATCCGGACTAAAAAAAAGAACTACTCCATTAGATTAAACAAATAAAATCAAAGGGAAAGAGGGGACCATAACGTCCATAAGTATTATAAGTATTAATTAATTGAAGTGAATGGCTAATCTTCATAATATATAATAGATTAGACCATATTTAAATATTAAAGCACATATTCAAAGTACAAAAATCTTCTGATTTTCTTTTCATTTTCAATTCTTTACAAATTTTCATCTTTTTTACCAACTGTCTAACCTCCACTATTTTTATATACTTTGGACATTAATTTTTTAATTTTCTTATACTCTTGTTAGTGAATTTCTCTAGTTATTTACTCCACTTAACAAGTACGGAGTAGTTAATTAATAATATAAGAGTATAAAAAAGCAAACAAACAACTGCTTGAAAAAGTAACAAAACTTGGAATTTAGAAAAAAAAAAAAAAAAACAATTGACAAAATCTACAAGTTAAATGGACGACAAACATAAACAAAGCTAAAGCGTACAATCTTCGTATTCATTGACACTTTTTTGATTGTTGATTCTATTTCTCTCTTTACACAAAAAAAACAGCTCGGAGCAACTGGCCAAACTTTTTCGACTTTTAGGTGTAACTCTTTATACTCCCTTTACTCGAGGTCATCTGCAACAAAGGACAATATTTTGGACTTTTAGGCAAAACTTTCAGAGGAGTTTTAATTGAGTTTTGGTGGGTTTAATTAAGGTTGAAAATGAAGGGAAAAGGAGCGGTCCCACTTAATTTTGTTTTGAGTGGGTTTTAGTTAGTGGGTAATAGGTGGTGGAGGGGACCACTAACCAAAAAAATGGGTAATAGTGGGTAATTGATAGTTAAATATTACTCAAAAAGAAAAGAAAAAAATTTGTTGCAAATAATATAGAGCACTCATTTTAGGTAAATATTGCAGATAATTGCGGACGGAGGGAATATTAGATTCGAGTCGATTTCTATCGCACACACTTTTAACTATGCACCATATAAAGCATACGATATACGAGTACACATCTTTTTATTGACCCCACCATTCAAGGTGTGCCATCATCCTTCCTTACCTTACCTAACGACTGTCGATTAATCGATTATATTATCTTCCATTTTTCTCCCGCAACAAATATGTCTCTCTGAATGAAACTCCACAAATTCAGAGAGACGAAGAACTAAGATTACTGTTGAAAGGTTTAATTTTTTAAAATTTTTTGTCCAAAAATTGAGGAGAGAGAAAGTGAGAGTATATGTACTGTTAACTCGAGTTGTCATGGCCCATAACAAGTCGCTCTTGTCTGCTATCTTTCCAATTCCACACTAAAAAGAAACAAACACCACTCTTTTTAAAATCCCACATAAACCCAGTTAAAAAAATTCATTCATCCCATTTCTCTCTCTAAAAAAATGTACCCAATTTCTCTCTCCTCAAAATCATGAAGAATTGGGCATAAACAACCATACTCACTCACTCTCATGGGTTCCAACTACATGAACGTTGAAGGGTCTTCAACTTCCTCTTCTGGGTTGTCTGATTCAATCAACGGTCTTAAATTTGGTCAGAAAATCTACTTTGAGGATGTGGGTAGCGGCGGCGGCGGTTCCGGCAAGTCTTCCGGCGCCGGCGGTGGCGGTTGTGGGCCGGTGAAAAAGGGAGGGAAGGCGGTATTGCAAAGCGGGCAGCCGCCGCGGTGTCAAGTGGAAGGGTGTAATACAGATCTTAGTGATGCAAAAACATATTATTCAAGGCATAAAGTTTGTGGCATGCACTCTAAATCACCTATTGTCATTGTTGCTGGTATTGAGCAGCGTTTTTGCCAGCAGTGTAGCAGGTCTCTTTTTCATTATTTCTCTCTTTAGTTTGGAAAAATTTATCAATTTTTTGACAATTTCTTTGATTTTTTAATTTATTATTTTTTTAATTTTTGATGTTTATTATCTTGTTGTTAATCATGGGTTGTGTTTTATTTTGATTAATTTTAGAGTTTGTATCTGATTTTGCTTGGTCTAATTGATTATACCTGTCCTTTTCTGTGATCATAAAATTTGTTATTTATCAATCATTTAATGTGGCCAAGTCTCTGAAATCTGAAGATTTTATCTAAAAAAATATAAATATTAGTAATTTATTTTTGTTGGATTAAGTGGGGACTGATTTATTGAGTAATTAATAAGGAAAACAGATTTGATTTTTGTGATTTGTGGATGAGAAATTTTTTTTTTAAAAAGAAAAAAACAAAAATTATTATGTGGTACTGGTGTTAGGTCTAATTAATATATATTTTTTTTCATACTTCTGGGGTTAGGTAATGATAGTTTGTGCTTAAAGAATTCCTTACTTATAATTTATGACATTACATTAATAGGATGTTGATAGTCGCATTTAGGAGATTTGGAGTGAAAAGGATATAGCATAACATTACATTACATTATTAGGGTGTTGATAGTTGCATTTAGGAGATTTGGAGTGAAACGAAAAGAATATAGCAATTGACATTGTGTTGTATTACTTGGACATTATTGAAGTGTAATCTTGGTAAGTTGGTTGAACAGGAATGGTTGTAAGAGATTGTTTAGCTTGAAGGATGAGAGAAGTCAGGCATTGGTCGTTACTTGTAATCGGTCCTTGTGTAGGATGGATATTTTCAGAGATAAGAATTAGAATTTTAAGCTTCGCTTACAGTGAAAAATGATTGTTAGACAAGGCTAAAGAGGCCAAGTATCTGGAGGTCATGTTCTGTTTGTCGCTTTTGGCTTTGAAGAAGACAGAAAGAATAACATGTTCAAAGCATTTGCTGTTTAAGAGTTCACACTACTGTCACTGGTACCTTTGGGCTTTGGCTTTATAACATTTATTTGTCATAGTACTGTTTCTGTTTCTTGGCTCCTTCCACTATTAGTGTCCCAAATTTAATTAATAGGGTAAGGGGAGTAATGGAAAACATATACCAATTGCTGAACACCCCTCCCTCCCCGACAACCCAATAAATTTTATGATTAGCAACTTGAAGTGCTTTTGCCTTTCAGAAAAGGACTTTGATTTTTGTCCTTCCATTGTTTAAAAAGCTATTGCATGTACAGTCCATGCCCATGAATCAAGTTGCTAGTTACTTGGAATTGTAAAATTCCTTTAACGGTGGCTTTCATTTCATTCATCATGGCTTTCTTTCCTTTACATCTTCGAGTAGGGGGTGCTGGGGGTTTGTGTTGGTATTTCTTCTTTAGAAAACATATGTATCGACTATAGTTGATAGTTCTTTGCTACTTATTTAGGGTAGCCATTGTATCATCTACGGTGAAGTTTATGTAGAAAATGCATGAGGGATGATGTTATTATAGCGAGTCCTCATGTTTTCGAGATATTAGATATAGATCTAGATATTACAGTGCTATTGATCAATACACTATGACATATTGACATACCTCAGATGATTCATGTGTAGCAAAATACAAAAATCACTTGTCAATAAAGAACTCTTTCTCTATGTAGCTGGAAACTGTTACAAAGTTTTCTGATGGAGAATTGTAATGTTGTGTTCTAAGTTCTAACTTGTAGTAATACCTAATTTTTGTCATTGTTGGGGAGAATGATCAGATGTTTACAATGGAGACTTTTAGTTCATTATGTGGAGCAACAGTAGTAGCTTTTCTAAACTGCTCACCATTGTGGACTCAACTAAAGATACATAAGGATTCCTTCCTTCATGCCACATATTATATGACGTCGTCTCCCATGCACTACTCCACAACCAAGATGTTAGGCTTTTATGCCACTGATTGTAGAATCCCTGGTTTTGTCAAAGCCACAGGAATTAGTAGAATAAACATTAATCAGTATAATGGAACATTACATTAGTGAAGCCCAATGTTTGAAGGTTAGGCATTCAATTTTGACTTGCATTAATTTTGGCCTGACAAGTCAGTCAACACCTGATCTAATTATGATAGTGTGTGAGGTGAGAATGATGTGTATTGTGTGGCATGCCATTCCTTTTGAGTTCTTTTACTTCCAAAGGGAATTTGTTTTGTTCTGACATTCAGTGATTCAGGTGAAGCAGAAAAATAGACATTCCATGTTCCTTTATGCTCTTGTTGCTTTTAATACCTTTTTTTTTTTTTTTTTTTTTTTCAATAACCACTGGAGTTGGCCATTGTTGCTGAATTATAGTCTTCTGATATAGACATGTTTTGACATGTCCACAACAAAAATGATTGTGGTATGAAGTTCTCTCGGGGTTGGCCTTCGTTTTAGTAAAGTATACTATTCATCTTACATTTTTAGTTATACATCTGCATTTTGTCATTAGTGAACATTAAAAAGGGGCTGGTGCCTTATATAGATTTTATAAGAGATTTTTAATGCAATGGCTAGTACAATCTGTAGAAATTGATACAGCTGTGTATAAATTAGAACATAAGCAGTTTTTGTTTTATTTATCGGTCTTTAAAATTGTCTAGTCTTCTAGTAAGAAGACTAAAAATTGATCAGTTGATTCCTATTCTATTTCGCTTTTCATAAATAGTTTTTTTTATTAAAGTTCAATTTTTGTGACTTTTGACCTAGTATAAACATGTAATGAATAACAGCAGCTTTATAAAGTGATCTAGTGGTGTAACACTGTTAATTTATGTGTTGTCCAATCAACTTCAAAGCTTAATTTGACGTATGTATTTAAGAAAATTTAAAAATTGAGAGAATTTACACCTTGGGTGCTTCATTCTTACAACAAAATTGTGTTAATTGGTCATTTTATCTTAGATTTCATCGACTTCCTGAATTTGACCAAGGGAAACGAAGCTGTCGCAGACGCCTTGCTGGTCATAATGAACGTCGAAGAAAACCACCACCTGGATCTTTGTTATCATCACGTTTGGGACGTCTCTCTTCTTCCTTTTTTGGTGGTGAGCCATAGTAACTTTAGGGTCTTTTCAGGTATGTATATTATAACTTGAGAAGATGGCTTTTTGCTAAGAAACTTTATTCATGTCATTGCAGACAACACCAGCAAAAATGGTGGGTTTTTATTGGACTTCTCTTCGTATTCAAGGCAGTCTGAAAAGGATCTGTGGCCAGGTTCAGAAACCTCTGAGCAGGTATCTGGAAGTCAGTCCAGGTCCATTGTGTGGCCAGGTGATGTAATCCTGCAATCTGTACACTGAACCTACTACATTGCATCTAGCGAGAAAAATCCATTTAAACCCACTAACTAGTAGTTACACGAGTTCTTATCATTTGTGTTCAAAAAATAAATTATTAATACTACTGCTAATATTTGAATCTACTACTGATGCTCTTGTTACTTTGATCTACTAATAATTTTATTTAATAGTATCATCTCCCTATTAAAGTCTTCCGTACCAATAAAACCTTCATATTTTTTGGGGCATATTATTCATACTGTCTTATGATTTCAAATACCATATTAAACAAAACCCCAAGTGTATTGTAAATTTGTAATCATCCCAACTAGTGTATTGTGACTTTGTACCTGTTCTGCGTATCGAAGCGTACTATGTATTAGGTAACCCTGTCATCATTATAAGAAGTTCATGTTCAGATTCAAGTTTGATATAAGGCTATAAATTAATGTAATAGAAACGAGTTCAAAATTTCTGCATGAAGTGTATCTTGTGGACGTCCATGATAATATATCTCCTGTCCTAAGTACAAAGTATGTTTTGGTTGTACTGAGAATATTGGGGGATGGGGGGGGGGGGTGGAAATATTTTGTTGGGATGGTGTATATGATTTATCGTGAATGGAACATTCCTTGATAATCACACAAATTACTACTGTTGCATTTTTTTTTCACCAAACATGCTGTCATTTTTCAAGTTAAATCATTCACTTGCTACTTCAAGGGGAAAAATTGTTTCTTCTATTTACTTCTACTTAAACTGCTAATTTTTCATGACTTACAAATTCTGTTAAAACTCTTTATTTGTGGATGATTGATCTTTTCAATTGTCCTTGTTTTGATAATTCTCATTATAGAGTTTCAGCGGATAACAAATACTCCCTTTGAACCATTTTGACTTTTGCGCTATTTACATATACTTCGTATTAATTTGAAAATTGTTGTTGTTGCCGGGTTTTTTTTTTTTTTTTTTTTTTTTTTTTTTGTAAAACTAAGATGTAGGATAAAAATTATCATGTTAAGTTATTGGATTTGTCTTGAGATAACCTGAAACATAATAAACTTTGTAGAATTTCAGAAGTCTTGGAATTTGCCTCATTTTTTTCAGCATGTTACATCTACAGGCCACTCTGAGGATCATCCTTCGAAGATGTATCTGCATGGTTCAGCTAGTGAGTCCAGTTATTCCTTCCCTTCTGGAGAATGTATCACAGGCGTCTCATCTGACTCTAGCTGTGCTCTCTCTCTTCTGTCAAATCAATCTTGGGGCTCCAGAAACAGTTCATCAGGTACTGCACTTGGTAACTCGATGAACGTTGATGGAACTCCCGTCTCCCAGTGTAATGCAGCTCATGGTGTTACAGTTGCACACTTTCCAAACAGCAGCTCATCATGGGGTTTTAAAGGCAATAATGATGCTAGTTGTGGTTTACATGGTGTGCCATCTGGTCATTTGGGACTTGGCCAAATCTCCCAACCACATTATAATGGTCAATTTCATGGTGATCTTCTGATGGACCATGTCCAAGCTGGCGGACAGCAATACATGGATGTTGACCATTCTAGGGCTTACAACTCAAACAACACAAACCATGTGGACTGGTCACTTTGACTGTACTTTTCTCTGCTTTGTACTGAGGAAAAGCAAGTGTTGCTGTGATTTATGTAGAGCCCTCTATGATGACTGCACTGTGTTTCTCAAATCCTTAACTTGGTTTTTAATTTTCTTAGGTGTGTAGCATAACAGAATGATACTCCACCTGTTATCCGCACCACTGACTATTGTTGTGGGATTGAACTGACTATTTGTCCCGCTGCTTGTATTTTCTGTTTCCCTGAAAGGATCAAATACTGTTGTGCTTTGCTATTTGATCAGAATCACTGTCTGCTCATTACCCCTCTTCTGTATCTGTTTTGCCTTGACCTATGGCAGTATCAGATGCGAAAAAGCAAGTGCTTTAACGACTATTGCAACTTGATCCGCAGGACAGGTAGTGCATGACTGAATCTATAAAGGGCCGTTTACATTATGCTTTAGTTTGTTTAGTTCCCTTTTTATGTATATGGGACCTTACTCTTGACTACCTGACTACGATTTTATAAGCATTATCGATTTAAAAAACTATAGCAGGGTGTTGATTTCTCCTTAGTTTCCTACGAAGTATTTTGTTATGACTATCTTTATTTTCCCCTGAAAACTTGTTATGACTATCTCATCTCATTTTATTTAGAAGCATACTTGCTTTTAGTCATAAAAGAAACATAATTGAAGACTTGGCGCACTCGTTGCCGTGAAACTTCAGCAAAACATTTGAAAATTAATGCTTGCTTTAGGATGAGGTGACCAAACAGTTGTTCTAATTATGTCATACAGATTCCCCCGTCTTAGCCGTCTGTAGCTGGCCCCTGTTACAATGATTCTGTAGGTGATACTCCCCACAGTCAACAACAGCTATTTCAATATATTAGTAACTCTGGTCTGTAAATCACAAGTTAAAAGTGGTTTTCTAAAATGCACATGGAAGTGTCAGTTTACAACGTTAACATAATCAATATTCAACCCCAGTGCACAGCTGCACAGCTACAGTGAAACTTGCAGAGAGGCTGCTAATAGGCACGATACAGTCATCCCTAGTTACAAGCAATACAATGAGAGTATGCATCAATAGCCAACTCACTACCAAATTTTCAACAATGGAGACATCCGACGTGGGTTATATGCCTACACGTATTGCAACCCGGCACCCCGTCCAGTCTGGCAACAATGTCAGTCCGGCACCCATTCCAGTCTGGCCAAAATGTCAACCATATCACCATCACCCATGCTCTGTTTCACCACCTAAACCAAAGCAAGGAGGTGTACCCTCTCCCATAAGCAAGGACATTGATACGACATCCCATAATTTAAGCAAACCCAATCTAATGAAGTGGGTCTTCAATAATTTCTGCGAGAAAGCAGCACATGGATTAATATGAGTTGACCAACATAAAGAGAAGGGTCAAGAATTTGCAGTCACAACCATAATTGCCCAGTCTTACAGAAGATATGAATGAACATTCCCATAATCAGCAATTAGCCCCTCTACACTGTCAAGAAATCACTTCAATGGTCATCTTCGTTTAGTCCAGGGCAGTTGGAGAGGAGAGCTTCCATGGATTCATACTGAAATTAATAAGGTAGGTAAATTTCAGGGGTTAGCTATCAAATGATGCACCTACTGTTTGCCTTTTTAACAATATTAATATTGAAAAGGCCTCACAGTGATTTAGACACACACCTGACATCCACAAAAGAGGCAATAGTAATGTTCTTCTCTAAGCTTCTCCAATAACACTAGCAAATCCTGTATCAAATGCACCAGAACTGTCATTTAGTGAACTCATATAGTAAAAAAAGAAATAACTGTAACACACCATCCAAACAACCATGAATAGATGCTTTTCATTTTAGACATATATGTGGCAAGATGAAAAACAAAATCAGCCATATAATTAGCAAGCCAAGGACTACACTCAAATCAATTGGTGTAATAAGCAGCACTATCAACCATAGCTGGCCATAGTAAGTAGCACTCCCAGGCATAGCCTCAGCTAGATGTGCAAACGAATCTTATCAATTGCAGACATTAAGAATCATTAGCGATAATAGGCACTATATCAATGACACTTAGCAGATCACTGAGATGGGTATGCAGGGCCAAAAGAATCGCAGATGCTAGATAAAAGAATCACCTTGTTTTAACAAACATTTCTCTCACATAACTACATGAGACATGAAAATTCTTCACACTGATACACTAGATATTCTGCTATCTATGAAATCCTTTCCTGCATGTGATTCCCACAACTTTACACCCTCACATTGATGGGAAATTTAGAAGGAGAGAAGACAACATGCATTTCAACTGAATGACACCAGACAGATCAAAATCCCCCATCATCATATAACCATACATTTTGATCCACCGGGCCACGAGTCCACAGCCACAAACCACATAAAAAGAAGTCATAGTACTCAGTGCCGAGAAACAGAATTTTTTATTTCAAGTGTAAACCAAACTCTTTTCAAGTGAATACTATTCAATATATATAAGATGGCTCCGTTATTCATTATAAAGAAAAAACAAATGGATCAGTTATTCCATTCCTTTTCAACACCTAACAGGCTAACACAAAACCAAACAAAAAATATGTTGTTAACCCAAAAACACATGATACTGACAAAGTATTATTCAGGAATCAGGATCCAACAGTCATAGATAGAGCCTGGTCACAATTCACATAACTCCATGTGTAGAAATTAACAAAAAAATCCAAGTGAGACTCGAGTAAGGATATCAGCAACACGAAGTACAATACAAGAATACCTACATAAACCAAACCGCTTATAGTCTTCACCCAATTAAGCTTATGAAAGTGAAAAAAAAAAAAAAAATCACCCAATTAAGCTTGTGGAAGTGAAATAACAAACTTACTGGAAGATAGTAATCAATATGGCTAATCGGCTATCACCGGAACTAAAGATTTCTGTCAACTTAAAAGTGGAATGTCTTTGCAAATATAATGTTACTAGCTTAATAGCACAAGGAAATCCTACATTATACGAGTATGATAGAAGAACACAGATGCTAACCAAAAACAGATATTTCCTTAAAAACACTCAACCTCAAAAGTCTTCACCCATTCAAGTTATAAAAAGCAAATAACAATGTCTAAACAACATCAATTTAGAGGATGGATGCCAGCCGTACAGCGATAATTTGCACCAAAAGGTCCAGTAATATCATTGCAACTTCGACTCTGCAAACTGGCATTCTAATTTTATTTAAGAAAACAAAATATTGGGCAATATCAAACAATATATGATCACAAAATTACTCCACTAAAGATAAATCATGAATACAATTAACCTAAATTGAACACAATCCAACCATTTTCCATCACAAGAAAATAACCATCAAACTCAAACACATCACAATGCTAATAAAAAACACAGCTCAAAATTCAAACAACTAATACAACAAATACAGTTCCAATAAAATATACCTCTTCAGTAATCACTTCCTCTTCCTCCTCCTCATCTTCCCCATCATCATCTTCCTCCTTCTCCAGCTCAACCGCCGGCTCTCGATTCTCCAACTGATCAAGCGCCGCCTTCGCCTTATTATAGTTAATCACAACCCTCTTACTCTTCCATTGCATTTTTTGTCGAACCCCGAAATCCTCCAACATAACCTCTTCCGTCTTCTTCTTCCACACTTCCCTATCTTTCTCTCTCTTCACCCTCTCCTTCGCCGGATCCTCCCGCCCAATTCCCGACCTCGACCGGCGTATCTCCAACCCAATTGGCTCCTCTCGACCCACTGATCCCTCCTTTCCTAGCCCTTTTCCTGGGGTATACCCCATTTTTTTCAGCAATTTGAACCCAATATTTGATTGAGGAATTGCTGATTGTAGATTTTCTAGGGTTTGTTCATCTTCTTCTAGTTGTTTTCGCTCTTTTTGATGTTGCCATGTTTGGAATTTGGGTTTCTTCTTTGAGGGTGGCTGTGATGAATTGGATAGGGTTTTGGGGGCGAGTTTTTTGGGTTTGGGAGGTTGAGAAGGTTCGGTTATAATGAACTTTGAGAGATCTCCCATGTAATCTTCATCTTCTTCTTCTGGTGATTTTGGTTTGTCGTCAGTTGCTTCTGTATCCGCCATTGATGAGAACTTGCGAAAGTTGAAGTGTCTGACCGTATAAGAGGTAGGTGTGCTTAGGTGCTGGGATTTGTTAAACATCGCCCGCGTTTTTTCTACATAAAGCCCACATTTTTTAAAAATGTTGACATTATTGCCCTTGTTTTAATTTTTACCGAAAATAAAATTTTTCACTCATAAAAAATGTGGAGCAGGACTGGATCGCCGAGTGAAACCGAAGAGCCCTCAACGTCGGGTAGATGCACCGGAGAGACGCCGTTGACGCCGGAAAAGGAGGTACGAAGCCATCTAAAACCACGAATTGGCGGCTGGCGTCCTGCCGGGACGCCGTGACCGTAGTGGTGGCGCCTAGCCAGGACGCCGCCACCGTGGCTCTGGCGCCTGGCCAGGACGCCGCCACCGTGGCCGTGGCGTCTGGCCAATGTGATTCTGATCGATTCAACGTACAAGACAAACAAGTATAAGTTTCCACTGGTTGAGATGGTTGGGATGACTCCAACGAACCAGAACTTTTTGATTGGTTATGCAGTTATGAAGGATGAGACGGTTGCGAGTTACCGTTGGGTGTTGGAGAAGTTGAGAAATTACATCGGCCCAAGTGTTCAGCCATCGGCCATCGTCAGCGATTGTGAGGGAGGTCTCTTTGCCCCTATAGCGGAGCTGTTTCCGGAGTCGAGCCATTTACTGTGCACATGGCACATCAACAAATGCGTGAAAGTCAAAGCCTACAACCTTTTCAACAAGAACTTAGATTCAGCAGAGAGATTGGTAAATGGTAAGTGGCGGAAGATCCTGCAAGCTACCACGGAGGCAGAGTACGACCGAGCCTTGGATAACTTCAAGGATGCATACCAATGGTGCCCGGCAATCGTAGACTATGTGATGCAGCAGTGGGTGCCTCAGAGGGAAAAGTTTGTCAAATATTGGACAAACCAAGTTCTTCATTTATCGCCACGTGTCGTGGTCGTACATCGTCATCAAGTGGTAGTCAAACATCTTCGTCGGTGAATATGCCCGGCACCGGTACGGTACTTTAGTTTAATTTACTTTTTAGAGTGTTTGTTTAGTTTTCTGCTAACTTGTTAATTGTGTTTTTTGATGTGTGCAACAGGCAGAATGGACATTGAACATTTTCCATATAAAGACAGGATCCCTAACATCATGATGCCGTTCCTGGACGGGTGGAATGATGTGGTTGCAGATGGTAACTGTGGATTTCGGGTTGTGGCTGATGTGTTTCAGATGGGTGAAGACAACTACGGTTTAGTGCGTCAGTTGATGTACAGTGAAATCGCCTCAAACCGAGCTGTTTATCGCCACGTGTACGGACAGGACTTGGATAGGTCTCTGCAGCGTATCCGGTGGGGAGGAGGACGTTGCGGTCAAAATCATTGGTTCGACGCGCCCCTTGATCTCTTCGCCGTTGCAAACATCTACAAGTGTGCAGTGATGCATTTCGGCCTTGGTTTGCATGGTCGAGCTTACTATCCGTGTACCACGGTTCTGCCTTGGTGTTCGCGTGAGACCGTCACCAGACCGGTAAGAGAGGTTGCTATTGGATTTCTGGGGCCGTCATACAGACATTTCATCCGACTGGACCTGTCACCCGATTTTCCGGTCCCACCGATTATACCAACGTGGTACACCATTCGTACAGCAAGCGTAGAGGGCTGGGATGCGTTATATCATGACCGGGTGCAGCAGTGGAACAATCTAGTTGCCTTTTCTATGTGACCTAATATTGCTATTGCTATGTTTTTCCCATTTATTTAATTTTCGGATTCTAATTTTCGTATTTAGTTTTCCCATTTAAATGTGAACCTGTATTTAGTTTTCGTATGCCCACTAATTACAACTTAAAATAAAAGTTATAAAAACTAAAAATATAATGTCAAATTCTAAGAACTTAAAATAATAATTATAAGAACAGATAATGTTAACTTTTACAAACAACTAGGAAAATGTTTTATAAATGCACTGCCGACATATCAATAATCTCTCTGTGACGCCCACTGCCACTGCTCAAGGGCCCGTTCCAGTTCATCAATAACAGCTCTGCCTGTTGCAGTTCATCAATAACAGCTCTGCCTGTTGCAGTCATCAATAACAAAGTGAAAAATATAAAATTATAAAAACTTAAAAAAAGAAGAACATCAAAATTTTAAAAAAAATTTATAACAAAAAAAAGGGAACATAAAATTTTTTTTAAGTAAAAAAACTAATTCAAAAAAAAAAAAACAAGAACAATAAACAAGAACATAAAATTAAAAATTAAAAAAAAAAAAAAGAGGAACATAAAATTTTTTTAAAAAAAAACCAACAAAATTTAAAACAAAATAAAAAAAAAATCAGAAACATAAAATTTAAAATTAAAAAAAAGAAAAACAAATTTAAAAAAAAATCAAAAAAAAAATAATTATTTTCGAAAATTAAATTTCAAATTTAAAACCAAAAAAAAATTAAAAAAAAAAATAAAAAGGCGGCGGCGCCTAGGCCAGACGCCGTGACGGTGGCGGCGGCGTCTAGCCCAGACGCCACTACCACGGCGGCGGCGCCTAGGCCAGACGCCGGTGCCGTGGTTCTGGCGCCTGGGCCAGACGCCACCGCCACCGTCACGGCGTCTGGCCTAGGCGCTGCCGCCGTGGTAGTGGCGTCTGGGCTAGACGCCGCCGCCGTGGTGGTGGCGTCTGGCCTAGGCGCCACCACCGCCTCCGACCTTTTTTTTTTAATTTTTAAACACAAAATTAATAAAAAATACCTTCTCGCCGGAAAACCGCTGTCCACCCGCCGCCTGTGCCGCCACTTCCTTGCCGGGCCGCCTCGACATCGCTCGGAAAGTTTTTTAGAGAGAGAAAGTGGAAGTAGAGAATTGAGAGAAGAAATTGTGTTTTTTACTTTGAGGGCAAAAGTGACAATTCACTCTAATTTTGTGGGCTTTATGTGGAGATTCGCGGGCGATGTTTAGCAATTGAGGTGCTTATGATGCGGGTCGAGGTCGAGTTCGAGTTTGGGGTAGCTCGACTCGACTCGTTAACATATCGAGTCGAGCTTTGATCAAATTTAACCGAGTCGATCTCGAATACCTTGTAATTTGATCCGTTTTAATAGAACTCTCTAATTATTGTAACATCTCTTCATTTTCTTTAATTTTGTCATTTGAGAAATATACATATGATACGTGTTTCGGGGTTTTTTGATGTGTCCTGCGGGAGAGTTACAATTCCAAGAATGCCCTTCGACGCCTGTGCCTGCAAAATCATGAAGACTCCTGGGGGTAGGAGCTCCGCCTCCGACGATCAAGTTAGTAAAGATACGGGAGGTAGAATGCACGTAATGTAGAAGTTACTTCTCGCGTAATGGGAGAATTCTGCAATTAATATTGCTCGGGGTAAGTGTTTTTCTTTTTGAGGAGTATTCAATGTGAACAACAAATGTTCCAGCCCCCCATTAATGAGGGTCCTTCCACTATTTATAGTGGAGAAGGGATGGTTTCCCTTTTAGGGTTTAGAGGACACGTGTCAGTAGAGGATTGGAGCCCTGCTGACCAACGGCTGGATGCCACGTGTCACTAGGCCATTGGGCCACGTGTTTAGGGTATTTTTACCCCAAACAATACGAGTATATAAATAATGTTTTTTTAGTAATTATTAATATAAAAAAAAAAGTTTTTTATCAAAATTATTTTAATATTTAATAAAATATTATTTACAAGAATTTGAGGTTCTTATAGGGATGACAATATTAGATGAATATCTGCTAACCCAATCCACCCGCTTAAAATAAATGGACGAAAATCCGAAATAAATGGATGAAAAGCGGGTGACGGATGAAGTGGATGATGGATCGGATCGGATGTGGATGATGATTTTTTCACCCGCTAACCATCCATCCACCCGTTTAGCATATATTAATATTTTTAATCTAAAAATTTTAATTAAAAAAAATTAAAATATACAATAAAAATACTTTGTTTGTTGCAAATTAATTTTTTCAAAGATTATGTAGTTAGTGCTTCCTTTTTATTTAAAAAATAATAATAACTTACAGTAAAAATAACCATAAATTAAATTTTATGCAAAAAAAAATTTCATAAAATGTTCATCCATTAGTCACCCGATCCACCCGTTTCATTCGCGGATGATGGATGGACGGATACGGATGATGGGTGAAGCGGGTGATGGATGGATGTGGATAATGGAATTGGAATGATGGATGGATGCGGGTGAAGCTCCACCCCATTTGAATCCGATCCATTGTCATCTCTTGGTTCTTACGAGCTTTTGAGTCGAGTAATGAGCTACTCATCTCGACTCATTAACAATTCGAGTCAATCTCAAGCTTCGAGTCGAGTTTTGATCGAGTCGCACTCGAATAGCTCGCGAGTTGTCTCGTCTCATAAGCACCCCTCCTAATAAGAGGTTTACATCGAGCCTTTGAATCTTTTTTTTATTACGGTTTATGTTTATTCGGGGGTAAAATTGTAATATCATAGGTAATATTTACACCAAAACCACTACTTGGTGTAAATCGCTATTCCAACTTTCCAAGTAGTGGTTTTAGTACGAAATGCCAAAATCGCTACTTGAGAGCTCATAAAAGTGAAAACACATATGCACTTATTTACAATATTGTTACTAGATAAATAATTGTCATTTATCATGAAAATTAGCTTGTATTTTTTTGAGCTTTAGTCTATTTTGAATTTACGGTCAATTATTAATTTACCTCAAATTTTTTCTTAAGTGTGTCAGATTCCAAAACATTTGTACCTACGATTATAGTTTTTTTTTATTATTTTTTTTTATATATATATATTATTGATTTTTTTTCTATAGATAAAAAGAATACGAATAGAACACCAATGGCAATTAATTTACACATATTTTGTATTATATATCTAGGGATTTCTTTAGATTGTCCATTCAAAATATGTGTTAATTAAAATACGTGTAAAGAATTATACTAAAATTAACTCTCCTAAATTTTTCTTAAGTAATTTCTACCTATTTACATTACACATAATTCTAGAAATTTCTAGATATTATATAGTACTAGATTTTTTTAGGATATTTACAATAGATAGTTTTTCTAAATTTTTCAAGATTAATATTTTCACAAAAAGTATTCATCAATAATCACTCAAAGGCAGCACATAAAGAGATAATTCTAGAGGTTGTTACTCAAAATTCCTCCCTCTTACAATACTAGCTGACCTGGCACCTTTCTCTGGACCCACCCTTAAAAACAGTTACATCAACTAAATTTCCTCCCGCTTTCTCTCTCCTCTGCAATAACAAACTCACACACACACTCCCATTTTCTCTGTCCTCTTTCTCTCTCCAGATTTTCATCAACTTCAACCTTAACCGCCATTGTTACTCGATCAAGCTTTTGCGTAATTCTTCGTCATTCACTTCAATGCTTTCTTGCAACTCCTCTTCTTCTACCATTTCATTTTCAGATTACTTCGCTTAATTCAACCATTCTTTGGTAGAATTTCATTTGTTCGTACTCAAATCGAAATTTACAGCTTTCTTCTTCGGTATACTTTCTGCAGAACTTTGAACTTCAATACTATCTTTATTCTTTAGATTTCTAGTGATATTTGATTGTTAATGCCGTTTTTCTGCCTATTTTGATTTATTTATGTGTAATTCTTGATATTTCGAACTCTGTTTTTCGTAAGTTTATTCTGTATATATTTCATCTTCATTCTTAGATTTCTGATGAAAAGCGTGTTATTATAGTGATTTTCTGCTTATTTTGATGAATTCAAGTATAGTTCATGCTTTGGTTTTCTGCTTACTTTTAATAGTGATTCTTGAATACTGGAACTCTGTTTTTTATGATTATTGGTTTTCTTGATTATTGATTCTACAATGCTACAATAAATTCTGCATTTCTTCGATTTCTAGTGAGAATTGAAGATGGCGTTGTTGATGCGATTTTTGAATCTTTGTTTACTGGTGTTCGTTTCGGCGATTCTTTCTTCGGAAGCTGCTACTGATCCAAACGACGGTAATTGCTCTCAGTCTCTCTGCAAATTATTCATATAATTCATCTTGTGATTTCTGTTTATAATGTTTACTGTTAGTTCTGCATTTCTTCGTGCTTCCGTAATTACTGGTATAATAAGAACTTAGGAATTTGACCATGTTTTGTGAAGAAATTGTTATGATCCGAGTTAAATAATAGTCGGTGTTTGTTAGTTATTGATGTTTATTAATACAATTTCATGAATATTCAGCGTCATTTCGGTCTTGAATAGATTATGTGTTGACTGTAATTTCCTTAAAAATTGGTCTAAAGTACATTTGAAGTGCAAAATTATGGAAGCATTCAATGAAGATCTTCACAAAGAATTATAAGATTTGTTTTTCGCTGCTTAAGGCAATTATACTTGGTGTTTCTATGTACTAGTGATGATAGCCGACTTGTATTTCATTTCTAAGGTGAATTCACTAGCTTTTCAACTATGATCAATGAGATAATTCATGTATTAGCGATATTAATCTTCCATGATCGACTGAAGATTACTGCATATTTGAGAGTGGTGTGGGTTTTATGGTTCCAAAGGTCATGTTGCTTCATAATTCCAAATGTTATGTGAATTGTCCAAGTATGTTGAAGACAAACTTCTGTGAGCGAGTTTATAACATTAGACCAATGTGTTTTCCAATTGTGAGTTTAGTTGCTTGTATTATGGCTCCGAAAGATTATCAAGGATTCAATCAGGCCTATGAGGGGATTATAATCGGATAATTTGAATGGAGAATTGTTATTCAAATACATACTGTAATGCTGTTACAATATTTAGGTTACTAGATAATTTTCTGTGATTATAGAAAAGTTCATCTAAAATTTGTTTGAATTGAATATCCATACTTTTTATTAAATGCAGCTCTAGCACTGCATGATTTGTACAATGCCCTAAAAAGGCCAAAGCAGCTAAAGGGTTGGATGGCAGAAGGTGGAGACCCCTGTGAGCAATCTTGGACTGGAATTGAATGCTCTGGTTCATCTGTCATACATATGTAAATCAACTCAGTTCCCTCTACATTTCTCTTTAATGCAAATTTTGTGTACTGTGTACTAATGCTAACTCGTCCTCTTTGTTCTCTACGATGAAGCAAACTGCATGGACTGAAGCTTGAGGGATACCTTGGTGGCCAGCTTTTCAATCTCCACAGCTTAAAACACTTGTAATTGGCCTCTACTTGTTTGTAAGCTTGCAATCAATTGTCTTACTAGTGTATAGTCTTTTCGATCTGACTTCTCCTTTGCAACACTAGGGATATTAGCTCAAATCGAATAGGAGGAATGATCCCAGATGGCCTTCCACCTAATGTCACCTACTTGTAAGGCCTATTCTGTCTTTTTTGAATGATTATTTGAGTTACAGTTATTGAATGCCCACGAGCCTACAATTCGTTCTATTATGTCATGCAGGAATTTGTCAGAAAACAAATTTTTACTGAGCATTCCACAGACCCTTTCTTTCTTGAGAAACTTACGACATCTGTGAGTAGCTTGCTTAATTCTAACTTGAAGGTCTATTCTGTCAGTTTCTATTATGCTGGTCTTATGATAAAATAACATAAATTCCTTTCTTTGGTAGGAATCTCAGTCACAACATTTTATCTGGACCCATTGGAAGTGTGTTTAAAGGTCTTGACAACTTGAAGGAAATGTATGTTTCCTTAACACTCTATACTCATCCTAGCCTAAGTTGTTGGTTTCAATATAGGATTATATATGCACAAAATCTGACAGCACCAATTGTTAAAATCCTGCATGCTTTTTCCCATATCAAAATCCTAACTGTAGCACAGGCATCAAATAACATTTCTTGTGTGCATATTATTGTTTCTCCATCTTATTTTGCATATTATAATCATTGACATAATTATACGTTTGTTCATTTGGTATAATCATGTGGCTCAACCACTAGAAATCTGCTAATGACGACAGTGCTCATTTGTTATCCTTGACTAATATTAATTTACTGCTACAGGGATCTATCATACAACAAGTTCAGTGGAGATCTACCGAGCTCATTTGCATCTCTGACAAATCTTACCAAATTGTAAGTTACAATTAATTCTTTAGAGATGATAACCAGACCCGAATATGTTTGAGATATATCTGTCAACGCCGCTTCAGTGTTCAAATCTTCTTAGTTAATTGAAGATATGAATATCATGCAGGTATCTGCAAAACAATGAACTCACAGGTTCGGTGGTATACCTGGCTGACCTAGCATTGGTTGAATTGTAAGTTAAATTTTATATATGCAATATGATTTGTTTGTGATTTGCTTCAGTAACATACACTTATCATTGGCTACGATGTATTTCCAGGAACATTCAAGATAATCATTTCAGTGGCATCATCCCACAGCATTTTCAAACCATTCCAAATCTATGGTAAGAGACTAAGAGGAGTCCCTAATTAGTAATTACTATATCAAATTTCATATATTTAATCTCACTTATCATTTTTTTTATTAGGATTGGAGGCAATAATTTCAGTAGAGTTGTCTCTTACTCTCCATGGAGTTTTCCTTTCGATAAGGTCCCCAGTGAGCAGAATATTTCTAGTCCACCAATAGCTGAGTCAAGCGCCATAGAAAAGGATCCTTCTAGGGGAACACAACAGCAGCACAAGAGAAAGAGGAAGTCTTTAGGAATAATAGCTTTAGGAGTTGGAGGAGCAGCCTTCATTTTAACTCTTCTGGGACTTGCTATTGTTGTCCACATTAAGCGAAATCATACTACTGAGCCTGAAAGCTTGAACACCAGCCGTAGGTCAATGTGCTCCTTTCCAGTTAGTTCAAATGGAGGTAATCATATTATTTATTATATAGAATTCTATTGCTTTCAGAATTTCCTTCCTTAGTTCCTTTCACACTGATTTTGCATTTTGCTTCAGCATAGCATCTACCATAGGTTGGTGGTAGCACAGATTTTGGTGTATATATGTTTCTAACTTCAGAATTTTAATTCACGTTACTTTATTTTGCTCGTAAGCAGATCATTCTTCTGGGAGATATGAAGATGTCCCACAAAATTTGTCATTCAACACTCCACCTGTGGCCTTACCCAGACATACAACTACTGTTCGTGTGTCCACCAAGGGAAAAGTGCCCCCAAATGCAAAACTCTATACAGTATCTGAACTCCAGTTGGCTACAAATAACTTTAATGAAGAAAACTTTCTTGGAGAAGGAACGCTTGGTTCAGTTTACAAAGCAAAGTTCCCTGACAGCCAGGTATTATTTTGAGTGCTAATTTAATCTTTTCAAATTACGTTCAGTCTGATGATAAGCTGATTTAAAATATTCATGCTCTTGATTTTCAGATTTTTGTTGTGAAAAACCTAAACTTGGTATCTCTGTCTTTCCATGAAGAAGAACAATTTTTGGATGTTGTTCGCAGCATATCTCGTTTGCAGCATCCAAATATTGTATGTCTTACTGGCTACTGTGTGGAGAACGGACATCACCTTCTTGTATATGAATATGTCAGAGATTTGACTCTTGATAAAGCTCTTCATTGTAAATTCTTTTTTCCACTTACCTGGGACCTCCGTATTCAGATAGCAGTTGGTGTGGCAGAAGCCCTGAAGTAAGCTTCTGTTATGAGCTCATTTGTAGTTCCTTGAAATAATACAAAGATCACTCTCCCCTGTGCTGCTATGTTATCTGCTCTCTTATCTCACTGGGGTTTTTTTATTCGATGTCAGTTATATGCATTCCTTGTCACCCCCAATTGCACACTGCAATCTGAAAGCCGCCAACATTTTGCTTGATGATGAGCTTAAGCCTCAAGTAGCTGACAGCGGACTTTCTATATTGAGGCCTCTCACCAGCAACAGTGTTAAAGTCAAGGTAAATACAATATTTTTGCATAGATAAGTGCTAATGATAATAATTTTCATGCTAAAGAAATTGGTATAGACATTACAAGAGTATACACTGCATTGACCTCCCAGTTTCTCTCGCATCTTGTATTTCAATGCTTGCAATTCTCTAGTTCCCAACGTGTGATTCCAAAAATATTATGGTCATTAATTATCTCCCTTTCACAACTGCAAACAGGCTGCTGAGATGGCTATCAATGACAGTGGCTACATTCCACAAGAACATGGGCAAACAGGAATAGAGAGCATAAAGACTGATGTGTATGCCTTTGGTGTCTTGCTTCTGGAACTTTTAACCGGAAGAAGGCCTTTTGACAGGTGTGTAACAGCTTTGATAAATTAATATCACACTGATGGATATGTTTTGCATCTGCTAACAAATTTTATCATTCCTGTGACATCGTGTTTCAGCTCTAGAGCAACAGAAGAGCAATGTTTGGTAAAATGGGCTTCACATAGGCTTCATGATTATGGATCTCTTGAAGACATGGTTGATCCAATCCTAAGAAGATCAATTTCTGCAATGACTCTCTCGAGATATGCTGACATCATATCTTTATGTGTCCAGGTAAATACTTATCCAGAACAGATTTAAGGAATGCTCAAACCTGTGTGCTTTGGCTTATTAACCAATCCATAAACATGTTATTTTGTATTTTAGAAAAGGCCCCTTTGAAAGTTAGAATAGTTTTCACATTTTCCCACATGATAGGAAATCAACCAGCAATTCTTGCAACTTCTCCCATGTTTGAAAAATCAAAACTTGTATACATCCAAAATGATTTCACTGTTGTTCATACAAAATTCTACATGCTCATCATCCGTTATTCTTATTAAGACCACCCAAGTACTATGTGGACCAACACATGCCTCTGTTCCTTAATTGCTTTCTTTGCATCTGTAACAGCCTGAAAAAGAATTCCGGCCCCAAATGTCAGAAATTGTTGAAGCTCTAATTAGAATCTTGCCAAAGCCTGGGGCAGATGTTGTAGAAGGTGATGCCTTTGAGAGATCTTTCCGGTCAACTAAAACTCGTTTTTCTGAACTCTCCTGAGAAGATTCATGCCCGTCAGACCAGAAAATTCATTGTTGCAGCAATACCAGCAACTGCCACTCAACTTAGAGATAGGATGTGCAAAGCTATTATCGTTAACAGTTGGAGTCTTATTGTATGGTTTAATGCCTAATAAGGCGCGGTTACACTGTAATACTGTGAATCCAATGCAAGCTAGCATTGGTTAGTTAGGCTATAACTGAAAATAGGCAGAGTAAACAATAGCTCATGGTTTAACAGTTTCTTTTTCATAGGTTCAGTTTATTTTTGTTCAAGGTTTGTTCTCAGCAGTGTTTGATTTCAAATTCAGATTATGTCGAGTACATATTCAGCTAAACAAAATTCTCACTGGGAAGACAAAAATGGCAGAGTAACTGATGAAACAAATGACATTCATCAGATATACTGCTTCATGTTACATACCATCTTACATAAATGAACATGGTCGGGCCCTTAAGACATAAAAGCAACTAGTGATAAACATGCAAAATTAAACCAGATGGGAAATTGAGAAATTGATTCTTATTTGAAGCTTAATTTGTTAAGAATATATACCACAAAACAGAGTTATACAACAGAAACTTTCTAAACTATATTCGACGTCCTTATTGAAAACACAAGTGTAAGAATGCCAAGTTAGCCTGGTTGCTGGTTCCTATTATTAGTACATGCTAACACTGGTAGAAAAGCTTGGGAGAACAGCTAAAAAGATCACACAGATACACCACTATTTAATAAGGTATTAATTTCTCCAATTATCTTGACAGGTCTTCCGTTGAACATGGATGACAGAGTGGTTTCACATAGTTTCTTCAGCTCTCTTGTTTTGTTGATTGCTACTTCCTGCAAACAAAGTGCACTCGTTAATTCTTCTGCTCACCGGATTCAGATCAAATTACAGTAGGTCAAATTAGAAATATGAATATATGAATGCACACACTAAATAACAGTCTGAATGCAGGCAACAAAATAGCATCAAGTCTGACTTCTGCCATTCAGACAGCAAAAGCAAAAAGAATACAAAGACTTGTCACATTTAGAGGTGCATTTTTGAAGTACTATAACACCAAAACATTTTCATATATTCATCCCCAACTCTTCCACTGGATTTAATATTTAGCACTACAGTACCAAAGTAAAGCAGGGAGAGGCAGAACCACAATAACAGCTCAAAATCCCATCAAAAGCATCAATAGTTGACAATCCTTGAATAAAAGATACTAAAATCTCATCATCTTCTTCTCTATTAGTAAATAAACAAGTGAAGTACTTTAAAAAAAACAATAACCACACACACACAATTCCACTCTTTGCTGTCTCCTTTCAGTTGCATTGAGCATTTGCGCTCCTATATCTCACAAACTGAGATTTAAGTGTGAAAAGTGTCTTCCTCCATGACATGGATTAAGCCAAGGCCAACTATACTAGTATGGTTTTGCAACTTTTGCTATCTTCTTCTTCTAATAATATGGACCCCAGATTACATTAGAAAAATCTTGTTCACAAGGTACACCCACACACACACACACATACATAAATTATATTTTGCCTCTTTATCTTTCATGAACATTGCACCCTCCTCGAGGATAACTCTTCACTAACCCAAACTATAAGTTTTCAGGCAAGAAGATGTAGGGATTTCAAGAACCATTTAAAATCTTAATTAAGGTCCTATTTTGTTCACTTAATTTCCACTTATTACAAAAAAAATTATTCAGACAAAAATTATAAGTTTATATAGGTTCAAGAAATATAAGTTCATATGGTTAATAAGGGTTACAACAAATTATAACTAAAAAAGTTCTAACAAGCACAGATAATTTCAGGTTAGCTCAAATAACTTCAGAAAAGTCCAGATAAGTAGATTGCACCCTAAGTGTCAATTTTATTGGATAACCTCAATTACATGTACAATTGTACACTATGAAGGGGTGTAGTCATTTCTCGCCTCACCCCAACAGCCAAACAAGACTATTAGTGTAAGCACCTCAACATCGTTAAATTATTAAACTTGAAAATTCAACTTCTTAAAAAAAGACAGTATTGCCTTCTATGGTTTCTTAAGCAAAACATCATCATTAAAATTTTGTAGATTATTGTCCTGCTACAAATCCATAACTTCCCGTAAAGCAAATTCTTCCCAAATCCATTAAAGCATAGCAGAAGAAACAGAGCACACAATACTCACCTGCTTAGGCCAAGATGAAGCCATTGAGTTCTGCAACTCCATACGTTTCGCAGACAAGTCTTTTAAACCGTCTTTCAGCTTTACTTCATGATGCTTTTTTTCTTCCAAGTTTTGCACTAGTCTGTCTAAGAATCTGTAGCAAATGATAATAGTTAGAGCTGTAGCTCCAAATACATCACAAATTAATGACGTTTTGAAAGCATAAAATTCTGTCAATGATCTGATGAATTATTATAGCAAAATGCAGAAGGCTTATGTGAAAAATAGCAATAAGATGATTACAATGACATTGCACAACGGAAATCTCAGGACAAATTCTTTGTATTGGTAGGGGGGAGAAAATGCTAATATACTCTCATATAGTCATATATGTAAGCACCTTCTTGAATTTAATATCATGATCAAGTCTCTTGTTTTTTTCTTCGTTAGTAAAGATATGGCCATTGAAATGTCAGAAAGCATTTTCTGAATGTTATCAGTAGAATACTGTTGCAAGACAAATGGAGCAACTGCCTGAACTTGATGTTGCAAGGACAAAGTCTCTTCATTTTTCAACTCCATCAGCCGCTGGTTTAAAAATGCCTTGATCTGTGAAAAGGTACAATTGGAACAATAAGAAACACAGCAGATCAATTCTATTTCATCCATCCCTTTACGTTTACCAGATTGAAAGATAAAAGGCAAAATTAACGAGTGAGACAAGGTGCTGGTAACATATAGCAGAAACATATAAATACCTCAAAGAGATCATCAAGAATTTTATTCCTGTATTCCGTCTCCAAAAGTGGACTTCTATCACCTGAGACTTGAGCGTCAGCTAAAGTATTCAGAGCAGGTGTTTGAGCTTCCTTTGCAATATGTGTATCAGAATCTTCCATTGCTTCCAATTGAGAATTGTCAACACTATAATCCCAAGATATTTCCGAAACCTCAACATCAATGGATCCTCCACCACTTGGAGCAGCCTGGCCAAACTTTTCAGACTCAATTGCTGAAGAATCTTGCAAAAACTCTTCAGCATTTATAATTTCATAAGGACCCAACCCATTAGCAGCATCATCGGTCTCTTCAACAGTGCCAATATCCCAGTCAATCTGAGAGCTATCTAATGTAATATCCCAATCAATGCCATCTGCCCCAGTGCTCATGGTTCCACAAGTATCAGAATGTTCATTAAGGTTGGACACAGCATTTGTGGATTCGACCAAATCAGATCCCACAGAGACACTAAGTGTAGGTGGGTTTTCAATGATATTCCTTAAATTTTGAACCACAATGCCAGATGTACACTGTATCAAATAAATGAACCTATATTAGCAACAGGCAAAATTGTCATTGTAAAGCAGCTTTCACCAGACAATGACAAGAAAAAAATTGGAAAGATAAAAGGTAAAGATCAGCTTACATCCTTATTGGTATGAAGCTCTGTAACAATACTGGAGTAGTATTCAATAGCTTGTGCAACAGAATCACCACTAACGACTTCCATAATATTACTGAAGATACTTGGAAGAGATTTTGTAGCACTCCCTAAGAGTTCCAATCTAACATTATTCCCCTAAAAGCAAAAATTAAAATCAAACTGTTCAGAATCATTATGAAAACTCGCTACACAGGATTCAAGACAATAGGGTTTAGTAATATAGCCCAACTTATGAAATAAACACCTGCAATCCTAGTTCTTGACAAGCTTCAGCATACTTCGCTGCTGATGAAGCTGCACTTCTTTTGATATCAGCTTCCTTGCGATCAAGCTCTGCAAACTGTTGCTGTGTCTTCTGAACCTGCTTTTTTAAGTAAGGGCTTCAAATTGAGGGGGAAAAAATCAATCAATCAACAACATGATTGGCAACAAAAAAGTTTGCTCATAATGACAGAAGATCAGACTTTGGGCTTACATCTCATAATTAGCATTTTGGGCCATAGTTTGAGCAGCCTCACCAAGGAATACATGATCCTTCTCATATGCCTGGACAATTGCTTCCCATACACCCTGTCACCATAATCACAAAATGAAAACTTAGCACTATGATTTCAAGTAAAAAACATACAGCCAAGCATCGAGGAGAGAGACAAGAACTTACAGCAGCGCCTGAAAGCCGACCAAATATGTTCCGACTTTCTGGATTGGTCCGCAACAGAATTTCATATATTTTTTTTGCTTCCAAATAATCAATTCCTGGTGAAAAAAATGAGGAAAAATCATTATTATGCACAGAAACCAGCTGGACAAATATAGACCCATAATTAGAGTAAAACCCACTATCTTTACTAAATTCAAGTTCAAAGCTATTAAATAAGTGAACAAGCGTTGAATGATATGTAAAGTGAGGCAGAGAGCTTGAAACATCCATGTAATTAATGAATTATAGGAACTTTGATCCCAGACAATTTCAGATATTCCACATATTCAAAAAATTTAAGATTTTATTTAGAAAATGCAAAATGAATTTTTGGTGCTAAGTATAAAAATAAGCAAAACAAACACATCATAGAAGTAACCAAAAAAAAACTACTCATCCTACACCATCTCTGCAAATGAGGGCTTCATCACTTAAAAAACTCCATTTATAAATCCAAATGCTTATGGTGTCAAAATTCAATCACTTTAAACAGCTAGAGACTCATTTAGGAGGACCTAAAACAGCTACCTGCTCTGCAATGGGATCAGAAAAAATTTGAAAAACTTTCAGCGCCATAGAAAGCACTTGCTACACAGTGATGCATAAATACTTTTGTATCCTAGAATAATATTTTTACTTCTCACTTACTAGTTAGTACTGTCTCAGAAAAAAAAAATTAAAAAAAAAAAAAAAAAAAGTACTTTCTTAGCACAGCAAAAACTTTTTCATCGCCCTTTTATTCTATGTTCCAATAGTTTCTTAGTTCTTACTTCGTAAACTACAACTTTTTGAATTAACTTAGCAGGAGATGAGTGAAAAGGTCTGTATACTTGAGTGTGAGTAATGGAAGTAAGCCAGAAAGAGCCTAACTATTATTTGTATCAATTATCTTCTCAAAAAAAGAGAGAATTAATTCTAAAAAACAAAAATTTTAAATGAGATACATTCTACTTAGAGGCCAAGCATTCCTTTGCTAAAAGCTAAAATCAATACAGATATGATGAACAGCTTGACAAAAACAACAAAGCAGAACAAGAACTCGTTCAAATTTTTGTTAACAAAAAATTATATAAAAACACATTAAGAATGGAACGGTAACTAATCAGATGCTCAAGTGCTTTCAGCTATAGCTTACATTACCCAGACACACCTACATGGCAAGGCTTGCGGCACTAAAAGATAAACAAACACCTAATTCTTATGATTAGAGGGGGAAAAAACCAAAAAATTAGTAAACCATATAGCAAAAATTGTATTCAATTTCCTCTTCCCCCCACCCTCTCTTTCAGCTAAGGAGAGAGGTCAGCAACCTTTTCACTGGGAAATCAGCAAGCAATTAATCAAACCTTTTTCACCATCTCACAAAGTCCCATCCAAATTTACAAGAAAAATATTTATCGTCCACAATCCCAAATAAATTTACATTGAAGATCCGTCATGGAAGAATCTCAAATGAACAACTGATGTGGCATTTTTTTTGTTCTTGTGGAAAAGTTGCAACTACTCAACCCCATATAAGCATGGTGATTTTGATGTAGTTATTTAATTCTTAAGCATAACTTTGTAGATTTTGAAAAAAAATTCTAACTAATCAAACAATGTCTTGTCTAAAAATTCGTACCAATTCCTCCAAAATAATGCCTATAAAATTGCAACATTTGCAATTAATCATGGGAGATTGCTCCTTTGAGAAAATTAAACCATAACTTTGCAAATAATCAAATTAATATATATAAATATATAAATCAAACTAAAAAATTCTTAATCTTCAAAGTAAATTACTAGTACAGAAACAAAAAAAAAAAAAAAAAAAAAAAAGGGGGGGGGGTGAAATTGAAATTTCATTGAATATTTATGATTAAAACAAAAATTAATACTAAAACAATGATCAACACACCTTCAGAATCGAGAGTATGGAAGTAAGGATCAATATCTTTAGGAAGCGACGCAAAGGCGGATGAAATCTTAGCTCTGATTGCACTCAATCGTTTTCTCCAATCCCCAGGAATTCTCTTCCGATCCACAAGCCATTCTTCAATTTCAACAAAAGTTCAAAAATTACAATCAAACAACAAAATCAGAAAAAAAAAAAATCAATGAATTTGAGAAAGTGATTGCGATAAACCTAACCTCCGAGGCGAGAGAATGAGATGTCAATTGGAAGATTTTGAATGTCTTCTTGAGATTGCATCTTGGGGTTTTTGGGTTTTAGGGATTGATGAATTTTACATATATATTTCAGTTTCTACCAATGCTAGGAATTCTAAGCAAAAGTCTATGGAATAGAGTTATGCAAAAGACCATAAATTTACGAAGGAAGTCCGATCACTCGATCGGTGTAAAGGTGGAAAACAGGTTGTTTGGACCGTACTTATTAAAGGTTACTTCAGGAACTAGATTGAGGAATGATGCAACTAGACTTGATAAATGGGTTATTCGGGTCGGGTCAATTACTGGTTATTTTGGGTGAATTAGAATTTATGTCGGGTTGTTCATTTTGTGCTGGTACTGTGGAATGTAGATCAAGTTCAAATCCATAATTTTATTCGGTTTGTGAGTTTAGCTAAGGTTGGGGATGAAACAGTTTGAGCCATTTATGGCACCAGGTATTTTTAGTTTGGGTATTAGGTAATTTTAGTTTTGGACATTTCAGGTATCGTGTCTGTTCAGGTTAAGCAATTTGGGATAAAATCAGATTAGGTTAACTTTGGGTTGGGTGTTGGGTCAACTTCGGGTCGAGTACAATCGAGTCGGGTCATTTCGGGTATCGGGTTAAGATCAAGTCAACTCCACTTTCGGGTCGAGTACAAGTCGAGTCGGGTAGATTTCGAGTTTCGACTCAATTTCGGGTCATTGTTTTTGGGTCAATTTTCAGATCACGGGTCAAGTCATTTGGGTTGGGTCAGGACTGCCAGGTCTAGATGCAATATTATTTTAGTTTTGGATTTTTTTTAGTTTTTTTGCTTGTTAAGTGCAATTGAAATTCGTTCATTCTGGTTTTAATGACAATAACTAGTTCATTTCGAGGCATACTCGATTCTAAATTTAAGGAATGGTTTAATAAATTAGAATTTAGAGTAATATAAATTAGTCATCAATTGTTATTTCCTCAAATCTATAATATTATTAAAACTCAAAGGGACAACGTGGTAGTGTCATGAATCAACCATACCTCAAAATGATTTGGCGCCATGTATGATCTTATGTGTCATCACTCTTCACACACACACACATTGTAGTAACGTTTAATCTCTTATAAAAATTCTTCATAGGCATAACCTCCCTATAGTAATTACTTTAGTCTGCCTGAAAAAGTCTTCATATGTGTAACTTCCCTATTTAATTTTTTTGGTAATTAAAATAGAGATTTAATTAATTATCAAGAGAAATGAGGCTAAAACACCTCAGCAAACTGGGACAAAACCCAAGTAAGCACCAAACAAAAAACCGAGCATTTGGAACAAGCTCCAGATTACTACCCAAAGAAACAGCCTATACAAACTCCAGCCAAGAAAAGAACAAAAAACTGCAGACCAAAATTAGCTATATTGTAATCCTAGCAAAAACGACCTGTGATCAACAGAACATCTACAAGCAACTCTGAAGCAAATGTCTCTAAAAATAGTTGCAGCACATCTCCCTATCTCCCTTTCTGGTTGAAAACCAGATCATATCTCTGAATCCAAATAGCATAAATGCACTCAACAAAGAACATCAGATAGACTTTGTGCTTAGTAGTGCATCTCTTGTTATATCTCATAGCCCAAGTCAGCTCACAAGAAAAGTTAGCAGGCTTTCTATGAATCTGCTGGAGCTAAAGAAGCCTGTCCTGCTCAACAGACTATGTAGCCTGCCTTCACATTGTACAAACAACATTGAAACAATCTTCTAATCATACAAACGATCAAGAGTAGGAAGTCTTCTCCAAATTGCAAGCCAAGAAATAAATAAACTCTTGGGAGTAGAATTATTGTTGTAAAACACCCTTCTCCAAGGAACCTTAGGGAAGGAACCACAAAGTTTCTAATAGTACTGCAGAGTAAGAACCACCCTTAAGAGTAGCATCCCATCCACTAATACTTTCAATCTGAGCATATCAGGCAAAAAGTTTCTAGAGACGCTAATAAATATTAGCAGAGCAATGAATATCAGCCAAGATCCTGCCTTTAATATAGTAGCTATCCACCCATTTTACCCAGAGCTTGTCTTTTTTACAAGTAATGGCCTATAGAAGCTTGCCAATAGCAGCTTTATCCCAGCACTCCATATTATCCTTGATATTCCAGCCCCCAGCAGCTCGAGGCATACACATATTCTGCCATGAAACCCAAGCTTTCTTGGACGCTATTACATTTCCTGTCTAGAGAAGCATCTGTAGGTCATTTGGATTTCTCTAGTCACCTTTTTAGGGAGAATGAAATTTAACACCAGAAAGACTGCAAACTCATAAGAATTACCTTAACTAGTTGTAATCTACCAGCATAAGAAAGGTACTTAGTTGTCCAACTCTTAGCTCGTGAAACAACTTTGTCAACCAGAGGTTTACAGTCAACATAAGAGAATTTTTTAGTGGCTAAAGGAAATCCCAAGTATTTGAAGGGAAACTCACCACAAGGAATTCGCAAAGTATTAATAATACTCTGCTGAATAGAATCAAGGATCCCCCCCCCCAAAAAAATAAATGTTACTCTTGTTTAGATTTGCCTCTAAACTAGATGCTTTAGAGAAATTAAGAAAGGTGTTTCGGGGTTTTCTGTGTCCCTCGGGAGAGTTACAACATCAAGACTGGATTCTGGACGCTTGTACTTGCAAAACAACGGAGACTCCGGTTGGGTATTTTTACCCAAAACATTTGCCCCTCACAGGTGTGACGTGGCGTGCCACGTGGCACCTGTGACAGGTGTCACATGCTGATAGAGTTTTTTTTTTTTTTTAAGTGACTGTTCGTCTTCATTCTGGGGAAGTTCCCTCCCTTTATAAGTAAGACGTCCCTTCTTCCTTTTCCTCATTTTTGCATCTTGAGAAAACTTTAGAGAGAGAGGAAGAGTAGAGCTCTGAGACCGGCTGCCTTTGCTTTCATAATAACTTTATTTTTTGTTACTTTTAATTATCATTTGTTATTTTTTGGTTTTTATTATTTTTATTTGATAATTAATTAAATATTTATGATAAAATTAAATAATTTAGAAGGGAACCAATCACAAGCTGCCACGTGGCATTATTAGCCTTAATGACTAACGGTGTTAACGTCATTTAGTCATTAATGGTATGTTGTGACATTTACCAAAAACTCAGTGGTATTTGGTGTATTAGAAAATTTTGTGTGGTATATGGTGAATTTTGGAAAAACTCAATGGTATTTCATGAAAAATCCGATATCAGATTATAAGCAGTCAATTCTTCAACAACCTGGAATTTGACAACCATATAGCGTCCTTCCTCCTTCTCTCCTAGCCAGATGGGTAGGTCAATCCTCCACACCGGATGCACTACTCCACCCCCAAAACCAACCAAGGGGTGAGAGACTTTGTGCATGTTGCTGGGCTTGTACTTGAACTTTGCCAAGCACTTGTAGCTGATAAGGTCAGACAAGCTCCCAGTGTCAATAAGGATCTGACCCACTCTTTGGTTGACGACCTTACATTCAATGACTATGGGGTCATCCGCGGCCCCCTGACCTTTCCCTTGTCCTTCTTAGTGATAATGACCTCAGGAAGGTGTCTTTTGACGCTTGGCCATCATCAACTGAGTTGACATCCAGCTGTCTGATATAGTCTTTGGTGCCCTGGATGGTTGGACCCCCTCCAGTAAAACCGCCTGCTATAGTATAGATCTGTTCTTCGTCAGTGTCCGAACTAATAGCAAGTTGGTCTGCTTTTTTAGACGGTTGTCCACTATTTGTTTTTAGGGTCACTTTGGACTTTAGAATGTAGGACTTCAACACCCCTTTATCAATCAAACAGTCCAACAACCTTTTGAGGCTATAACAGTCATTGGTGTCGTGGCCTATATCCTCATGGAAATGACAGTATTTGTTTTTGTTCCGACTTTTGGCGGAACCTTTCATTGCAGCCAGTTTCTCAATTGTCACCTGGTCTTTGATTTCCATGAGGATGGAGTAGCAGTCTTTGTTAAACTTGTACTTGGGGACGTACGGTTTTAACTCTTTCTTTTTCTTCTGGGATGGCTGATTAGAGTTATCTGCCACCCAGACTTCTTTTCGTTTCTTGCTCCCTTCTTTCTTAGCCAGCTGAATAGACCGACTCTCTTTTTTGTCAGACTTTTTAGGGTCCGACGGCTTACTGATGGCACACAACTCAGTGGTCGACCCGTCCTTCAGACCCTTGAAGAAGTCTATGTAGGCCACTTCGTCTAACAGCCCTTGAATCTGAATTCTCATCAGATTGAATCGCCTGACGTAAGACCTTAGCCCTTCTCTATCTCCCTGCTGAATAGCACCTAAGTCAAGAGTTGTTTTCTTAGCAAGGATGTTCATAGAGAAGTTTGAAGCAAAACAAGTACGCAAGCGTCTTAAAGCTATTGATGCATCCGGCTAGCAGCAGGTTGCCAAACCATCATTGGGTTATGCCGTTCAACGTTGTTGGGAAGCATCAACACCAGGTGGCATCATCCAATCCCTGTAAGTACATGAGGTTGGTGTAAGTCGTTAGGTGGTCTTCTGGGTGGTGGTACCATCGTAAGTACTTACCAACACATTCTTAACCTTGGCCAGCTGGGCCACCTCGGTTATCTCCTTGGAGAACGCAGAAGGTTGTTCCCCAAGTTTGAGCAGATGCAGCTGCCAGTCCAAAGGCTAGACATTTTGTGCCGCCTGACCCCTAAAGAGAGTCGGCTACAAGTATTGTTGTCTCTACGGGATGTATGGCTGCCGAGGCACATACAGAGCCAAATGGATTATTATCTGAGGGCCAGAGTGGGCGGACAGGCCGCTTTACTGACCCTCTCGGTTTGATTGTGAATACCTCATCGAGGTATTCTGAAAGCTGTTTGGGTAAGTCAACATTGAGGCCGACTAAGATAGTTGTTGAGTTTTCTTTTGTTGGATTAACATCCAGGCATCCAAATAAGTCTTTTTTTATCCATCCGGCTGAACTTGTCGGATGACCTTCCTCTTCCCTATTTCAAGAAATCAAATTTTGGACAGATCAACCATGGGCTAGTCCCTCTCCTTTGGTTTAGGATGAGGAGTAGGAACACGATCTTTGACAGACTTCTTCTTCCCTGAGGGAAAAGGTTTCTTGGCCGACTGACCCCTGCTGGTGCCAGCTGTCCTTTTCTCGATCAGGTCCTTGATTTCCCCTTTGAAACTTGTCATGAATTTCATGAGTTCGCCTCTAGTAACGAGGGCTGCGCCT